TCGGTGTATACCGGTCTCCCCCACCACACACTTCATTCGGAAATAAAGCGGAGGGGGGAATGAGCCGCGACCTGCGCGTGAAGGCCGTGCCGAGGCCGCCCCTGCCGACGCAGCGCCGCAATTTGTGCTTGGGGGCCGCCGACGATGCCACCACGTATGCTTCGTCGCCGTGCGTACTCAGCGATGAGGAATGGGTGGATTCCGCCTCTGAAACTTGCAGCGACGCGAGCAGCCAGTCCAAGCAGGGGCGATCCGGACGGATGGTCCATCCACGGCGCGTTCAAGTCGAGCCTGAAGATGGCCAAGGGATCGAAGCTCTCGTGCCCCCGTTGGAGCGACTTGAGTTCCAGTCGTGGGAGGACCTCGAAGGTTACTTGGCCGACTACACTAGGGGAACGTACCAGGTATTATCTTGCTTTGTTTCGGATTACATATGATTCCTATGCTAACCACGAGCGTACTGTTATGTTGACTTCTTCGTAGAGCTTCCATATTCGCACGAAGAACACAGTGGTAGCACGTAATGCCAAGATTCGTTTGTCGGGGTCGAAGAAGCCGTTGCTACCGGATGAGTGGAAGAACTACGGCAAGACGTACATATGCACGCACTCGGGGACGTACAAGTCGCGAGGAAAGGGAAAGAGGAAGCGTCTACAGTCGCGAGCTATGGAGTGCGAAGCCCAGGTAAGATTACTGCTCAGTTGAGACGAGTTGGTCATCCAGTTGGACCGAGTTGGTCATCCAGTTGGACCAAGTTGGTCATCCAGTTGGGCCGAGTTTGTCATCCAGCTGGGCACGCGGATCTTTGGGTTGTGTTGGGATGAGTTGAAGCTTACTGATGTTGTGCTTGCATGTGCCCATATTGCAGATCAATGCGTGTGTCCAAGTTGACGATGCTAAGGCTCCGACCTTCATTTTGAGGATCACCTTGGCGCGTTTAGTGCACAATCACCCCGTAAACAAGCACATCTACAGTCAATATCCGCACGTACGAACGGAATTGGAGTCAAATGTGGTGACTACGGTGAACGAGCTTCTGCCTAACGGACGATATAATGCACATGGTACTGACAAAGAAGTTCGGACAGGATCCTAACGTAGTTGTTTTTAAGGCGTCAATGCTAGGTACTGTCGTCGATGGGCACATGGGGGCGGACAAAGAGAGTATTCGGAGGAAAATGGAGGGACTATCGAATCAACTTCTCCGTGAACTGCAATGGTAATCACTGGTGCTCCGTGATGATGAACCTCGAAAAGGGAAAGGTGGCCATATACGATTCCAGTTCGTCTACGTACTTAGTGAGCGTTCGCTCCGTGGCTCAGGTGCTGATATCTCTGCTACCAAACGGCGTGAACCCGAGCCAACGAGTACAGACGTACGAGTCGGGGTTGGGCGTTCAAGTGGATAGCTACAACTGCGGCATTTACGCTCTACTGGCTTTCGAGATGTTCTGCGGCGCCGAGCCTCTTGGCTACATTGGCAAGAATACACTGCAGTGTCTGCGCTACCGCTACCTTCGTATGTGTATGGAAGGCTAAAGAGTGCTAGTCTCTACACCTAATACATAAGTTCACGTAGATTTCTATCCATGTTATCATACAGTTCTTCTTCCACCATTAATCTGGTACGTTTCATTGTGCAGTAAGCCCAAGAGTTTCCAAAGTCTTGCTCCACACAATGCAAACACTAAAAGTGCTGTCCAGCATCCTCGAAAAGTACGACTTCATTATATCCGGCTATACGCTTGGGACCTATACTTGCTGAAGTGGCTGGGCACCCGTTTGGGTGCCATATAGGCACCTGATGGGTACCGCTGGGCGCGAGATGGTCGTGGGCGGGTGCAGGAGGCTCGTCACATATTTCCGAGTTGGGCGCAGGAACGATTGCCATTGAATAAATGGAATTTCCAACAAGTGGTTGACAGAACGTGTGCAAAAAACACGTTAAAAAAACACGTTCTGTCAACCACTTGTTGGAAATTCCATTAATTTAATTTATAAACAATATTTATTAACAGTAAAAAAACAAATAACAGTTCTGATGTTACCGTAAATCAGCTTTCTTTCCTTATTTAAAAGATTAAATACTTTCGATCGAAAGTGTTGTTAGCAAGGGCTCAGCTGTACTTTAAAACATTAGAGCGTTTTTAGTAAAAACTTTTTACAGATATTATTAAGTACTGTTTCTCAGCCGCTGATGCATCAAATCTGTCATAAGTTGCGTCTCTTCTACTTCCTCTGTCCGAAAATATAAGCGGGGCATCTGTTTAAACCGTGTCCGAAAATAAAAGCGGCATGCTTACAAATTCAAGTCATTTGATAGTACTGTCGAATTCCACCTAAGTACTCCCATACAAATGCTGTTGTTGTTGTCGGCCGCTGCAAACGAGACCGTAGAAATATTTAGGCACTCTACACGGCACCGCTCAACAGAGAATCGCACGTGCTACATCTCTACAGGTTTCTATGACATTTCGTGTAAAATTGACATCCTGGCGAAAGATTTCCAAATATCACATCTTCACCACGAACTTTGCATAACGATAACTTTGCGACCAGGTGGCCGATTTGCTTCAAACGTCGACCAAAACAATTGCCGTAAGCTAACCAGCAATTAAGACCAATCAGCTGCTCGTTTAAAGGTTTTCTGTTCTTAAAATTAATTTTGCCCGCCTATCCTGCTTATTTTTTCGGACGGAGGATTCCTCCGAGGAAGTACGTTTTAATTAATCAGATAAAGTATAGCCCAATAATGCCTTTATTATAATACATGTAACCGGCCTCCCGAGATCATAGCATATTATGCTCCCGTTCGTCCGACGTCTGTATAAGACACGGAGGCAGGGGTTAATGGTAACTCCAAAATCGGTGAAGTTAATATTGTGAAAATATCACCTGTAGACCAGTTAATATAAAAAATATCACCTAATATTTTCTTTTGAGACAATATGATATTATTAAATATCAACTTAATATTAGTTAATACGATATTATATTTTTCAATGATTGCGTAATCGGGCTACATTAACTAATCAGATGTCGTTAACGCTCGACTAGCTGAAGTATTACTAATCAACCGTGAGTACCGGGACAATTGTGAGTGACGGCAAGGTTGGCGTTGTGTGTTGGCACTGCTGAGCGCATTAATCTAGCGCCACAGGCAGCAGGTTTATTAGACGCACGATGTCGACGAGGAGATCGGAAGAGAACAAGAACAAATGTCTTGATTTCGCTCTATCAACGTTAAACAGCTGCAAGCGTTTGCAGTTTTCCATCTCGATAGCCTTTGTCTGTGTCACAGTGAAATACTAGAGCAAACACTCGTCAGTCTTAAAGCCTACTGCTTTTCTAGAACCTGATCGAAAAAGTTATTTGGCTCCGCTCGGTTCACAGAGGTAAGCTGGCAAGAAACGTACTTAAGTGGGAAAATATCATAAAATATCATGTAGTATCTAATATTTTTCAGTTCTCCGAGCTAATATAAAAATATTATGTTAGCTTTTGCAAAAATGAGTTACTATTAATATTTAATATCGAAAATAGTACTATTACTATCAAAAATATCATATGATATTTGGTTACCATTAGCCCCTGCACGGAGGAGAATTTATATTGATTAGATGCAGTGTTTGCTAAAACCGATTTTTGGTCGTAATCTTTGGTCGTGCTAACGATCTGGTGGGTTAAAGATTGCATACTGACTTCGTCCATGTCGGCGACACGTCCTTAGACTGGTCTTACAGTATTCATTGCCTTGGAGCGAATAAATTTTGAAATGACAGGCTTATAGGTGGGGCTTCTGAGGCGAGACCTTGACCACACGAGTAAAATACCGGTACTGTAAGCATGTCGTGTAAAAAAGTAGCTTGTTCACGTGATATCAGACATAGCAGCCTCGTCCTAACAGCAGCACCAGCCCCCTCTGGCCCCTCGAGGTTCCAGAAGGACAAGAATCGATAGCAGTACGAAGCAGTTGAGAAACGTCCTTAGACTGGTCTTATTCATTGCCTTGGAGCGAAGAAATTTTGAATTGACAGGCTTATAGGTGGGTTCTTTCGAGGCTTCTGAGGCGAGACCACCACACGAGTAAAATACCGGTACTGCAAGCATGTCGTGTAAAAAAGTAGCTTGTTCACGTGATATCAGACTCAGGCTGCGTACAGTACGCAATGATACTGCGACATTGTCGCAGTATCATTGCGTAGAAATATTCAAGATAAAAAAACTTGAGGTGTTGGACCAGATATTGTACGATTGACTAGGAAATAGTCAATGCGTGTTTCCTCTAATAATAATATTGCTATCGCGCAGCCGCACCTTTGGCTGTCCCGATAAGGGCACAAAGGTACGACGTTTGCATCCTTGTGTTTCTACTACATTTGTAGTATTTGCATGATTTAATATCAAAGCTCTTCTGACGAACGATGAATAAAGACCTCGATCTACTGTATACACGGTACCGCATGACCCTGCTACTTGCAGTGCATAAGTGCTATTAAAAAGAAAGAGCGAACGCTAAATAATAATATTTGACGATGCTTGCGACCCATTCCTTCCGTTTGCATGCAGTGTTTGTAAACATCCATGACATCATATGTTTTTTTAGCTCACAATGTGGGTTTAATACTTCGAGGGGGCTGGTGCTGCTGTTAGGACGAGGCTGCTGAGTCTGATATCACGTGAACAAGCTACTTTTTTACACGACATGCTTGCAGTACCGGTATTTTACTCGTGTGGTCAAGGTCTCGCCTCAGAAGCCTCGAAAGATCCCACCTATAAGCCTGTCATTTCAAAATTTCTTCTCTCCAAGGCAATGAATAAGACCAGTCTAAGGACGTTTCTCAACTGCTTCGTACTGCTATCGATTCTTGTCCTTCTGGAACCTGTCGGTGGTGGTCCAGTGTCAACTACGGTGTCCAACAGGAGCGTCCTCTCAAACGAAACTTCGAATGGCGCTGTTAACGCTGACATTAATCGGATGCAGACATGGTCAGCAAAGGATGATGAGTACGACACTTCAGAAGAGAGAGTTGACATCAAGGTGCCTGGCGCAGAGAAGCTTAAAGGTATAATCACGTCTGGGACTACAAAGCTGGAAAAATTCGCAAGCAGGGTGAAGAATAAATTGGCTTTCAACAACCAGAAAGGCACCGAAGACAGCGTAGCGAACCTCGGTGTCGGAGCGTCGGCGGGAGGCGAAACGTATTGAGAGTACATCGGTCAACTCTGTAACCAACCTTGACAGCCAAAAAGCTACTGAAGACGGCATAGCGAAGCTCGGTGTCGGAGCAATGGAGTCGAAACGTACAGACACCGCGCTGGCTCAATCTGTGACCACCATCAACAATAAAAGACCTGAGCTGAACGAGGAGGCATTTCGCACAGCACTGACCGCTCAGAATGGCGATGATGCCCTGACCAAGCTACTGGTAGAAGCACAAAGCCCAGGCGCATCGCATGCTGCTACGACGGTTAAAGCCATCCAGTTCGATAACTGGGTTACTCAAAAGAAAACGGCGGGAGATATCTACAACCTCCTGAAGCTAAATGTTGAAGATGTTGATGTTTTGGCAAACCCATTGCTGCCCACCTGGATCTCGTTCGTGAAGACCAAGCTCAAGGAGGATCCGTACGATTTCTTGCTGCTCAAACTGGCAAAGCAGTACGAAGAAGACGCACTACATAAAAGGCTGATGGCAGCCAGCACTACGGCCAGTACGAGAGATATTGCTAAAGGTTTGGAGTTTGCGCAGATAAAGAAATGGCTGACCACAGGAAAAGCGGAAGATGACGTCTTGAAGATTTCACTTGTACCTGCCGACAAGGAGCTCGGGCTCTTGAAGCACCCAGCTCTACAAACCTTTATCTCCTACGCGACTAAGCACCATACACTGGATCCGTATGAGTTTTTGGTACTCAAGTTGGCGAAGAGGCACGGCGAAGAAGAACTACCTAAAATGCTAGTTAGGGCGAAGTCCGACTCCGATTTGGTATCCATGGCTGTGAAGTTGGAATCGACGCAGTTTAAAATCTGGAAGGAGAAAGGTAAAACGAGCGATGACGTTTTTAAGATGCTTCGTCTAGACATTGACCAGAGTATCGACACACTGAAGAGCCCAGGCCTAGTTTCATGGTTCTTGTACGTGAAAAAAATTAGCGAAAACCCGACCGAAGTGCTGTACCGAAAATTGGAAATACGTTTTAGCGATGCAGAGATACTGAAGATGTTTTTCGCTGGGAAGAATGACGACACTTTAAAGTTTACGTTGGGTCCAATGGTCCGCTTGATCAAAGGCAATTGGCTGAGTCAAAAGAAAACTGCAGAAGATGTCTTCACCCATCTCTCCCTAGACAAAGATGGCATTAATTTTTTTGAAAACCCGATACTGGTAACTTGGTTCACCTACGTAAAAAGTATGCACAAGGAGGAAGCAGACAACGTGATGTCGTCGGTGATGACGAAATATTACGACGATGAAACACTGAAGAAGATGGTTACCCACAGCTCGATAACAGGGAATCTTAAAGCCACGGCAGCACAAGTGGCGTCTGCACTGTGGTTGCGCGAAGGAATGCCAGCACACGAGGCTTTTAAGCTGTTGAGGCTAAGCGGGAAAGGCGACAACGCTTTATCGGATCCCGCATTTGGTACATGGGTCTCATACTTTAACAAGTTGCAACGCAAGAAGATGAATCAAGACGAGTACGCTATTATAGCGGAGCTATCAAAGCATTTCGATAATGATCTGGATCTCGCACGTGCACTTTGTGCGGTGGCTAACAAAAATCCTGATCTGAATACAGCACAAACGATCACCAGCCTGCAGAATCTACAGTTCAAGCAATGGATTCAGAAAAAGCGATGGAAAGCGAAATATTTCAGATACGCTGATCTGAGGTACACGAGTGTCTATCTCAGTTTCTACAGCTTCTCCCACGCCACACGCGGAAGTTAGTGGAGGGGCTAGCGGGGCTTGAATAACAAGGTTTACATCTCCCTAAGTGATAATTAGACATGTAGCCGCTTGTTTGACGACGCATTAATTTGGTCATACAGAACGACAGTTGACGACAAATATCGAATTTCACACTGGGAATCTCTGAATTTAAAGGCATTTTTAACAGCAGTAATATGCATTTAAGAACTGCAAGCTAAGAAAAGAGTACGATATTTGTCGTATTGACAGTGATCAACCCTGATACACGTTTTTAAATATTGTTTGCTTTCAAAACGACTGTTTCCACAATCCTTGGGGGTCGAACGAACAAATACATTAATGAGAGCTTATGCAATGACCATCAGCTCGATCCGAAAAGGGACGAGGAGAGGCGGGTATTTCTTGACTGCTTGCTGCTTGTTCTTCCAAATACGAAGTGAGAGAGCTCGCCACGAGCAGTGTATACCGGTACCGTTTCGGTATATCGGTACTAAAAAACTGGTGTGGAAAACACAATTCCCTTGCTTCGCCCTATGGAATACACCTTTCCACAATCCTTGGGGGTCAAACGAGCAAATACATTAATGAGAGCTTATGCAATGACCATCAGCTCGATCCGAAAAGGGACGAGGAGAGCGGTGCCCCCTTAAGTGGTCATGCATAGTGGCTCCACTAATGTAGCGTCGAATCCCCCGGTGGGCCTGCCACCATGTTCGCTGAAAGCGTGGTGACGGACTCCTTGCAGAGCCTGGTGTAGGTCTTGTACGCGTCGGAAACCCAGCGGCCGTGGAACTGGATTGTAAGTGCATCCGTGCCAGATCGGTACATGTGCGTGGCTCCCCCGGCGCGTAGAGAATGAGAGCTGAACCGGCGGGGGTCTTCGCCAGTGCGAGCGGCAGCGCCTTTGATGGCTTCGGACACATCTTCGGTCGATACGCAGGCTGGTTGTCCCGAGCGTGAGATGTACACGGCGGCTGGGATGTTTGCAGGGAGATTCCTCCTTGCTTGATGGAGGATGAGGGCTCCGAACACGGGGCACAGAAACTGATGACCAGAGCGAGATAGCATCCTAGTCGTTGGAGCCCCACCTTGATTGGTCTTGGACCCGATCAGGCGAATCCAAACAGCCTGAGCCTGTGACGGACACTGAGTCGGCTGCCCAGCGGTATCCACAACCACGATGTCTTGCGCTCGTAGAGCGAACCACTTGAAGGATCCACCTTGGATGGCTACAATCTCTGATCGTCTCAGAAGAAGAAGAATGCCAGGCACACAGGGCTTGGCCACGGGGATGGTCCATGGCCAGGCCTCGAAAGCATGCTTCTAAGAGGTGGATTGACACGGGTGCCTTGCGGCGTCGGGGCGTGTCGAGACGGCCAATTCCTTTGAGAAGCATGCGGATGTGCGGGTGTTCAATCGGGAACTCACATCCGGAGGCGGCGAAGAAATGGCGAACGCCATGGAGCACCGCCATGATGGAGGCGCTACGGATGGGACCGCCGGATCCAAAGCCAAACTAAAATCCGATATGTGCTTCACCATGTCAGTGAGAGTCATGCCATGAAGCCAGGGAGAAAGTCCTCGTCGCGAAGTCCACCTTTTCCACTTGTTGAAGGCTCGATTGTATTGATCAAACGTGGAGTCGGCAACGGAGTGCGCGCGGAGATATGCTGCCAGATACTGGCTAGGCCTTGAATGTCCGTCTTCGGGGCCACCTGCGACCCCCCATGTGTTAGCGAAGCAAACGCAGCTGCAAACGATGGGTAAGCTGGAATACGGGAGCCGGCATCAGCGCGCGTATTATCTGTTCCAGCGACGTGAGACGCTGAAAACCGAAGCCGATATGATGCTTCCCACCAGCTAAGCAGGCGGATCATCACTTGAGCCCTGGGGTTGCGTGAGGCCAGCTTGTTTTGCCATGCGACAGCGGATGAATTGTCGATACGGAAGTGCACGTGCCGCGGTCTGTTGCCGATGGGGCTGTTCGCGGACCATCGTTTTCCCCATGCGTGCACCGCGAAGGCACACGAGAGGAGCTCGCGGAAGTTGATGTCAAAGCCGTTGGCCGCTCCCATTTTGAATTCCGCTATCAGCGATAGCTCGGATGGGGTAAATGCGTAGGTGAGCGCAGTCCTCGCCCATACGTCAAGCGCACACAGCCCGACATCCGACGCGTCCATTTCGACCACAACATCCGGGGGTGGGAGAGCGTTGAAGTATTCCGGAGATACACCGTTTAGCTGAGGGCTGTGCAGAATAAGCCACCACCAGAGCAGGTCTTCTCGCATTGCGTCTGTCACGGAGACGCCCTGAAAACGATGGAGTTGTGCCTCACGGTGGCGGAGACGCTGAAGGAACGGTCGTGTGGCCCGAATGCAAGTCGCCACATGACGTAAGCTGCCCATTAACGACCGATACGCTTTTCTAGTCAGCGTCGGGGAGTGGTAAGCTGAAGCGACAATCCTGCGTGCCTTATGGATCTTGGAAACCAATAGTGCGACCACTCCATCGACTGAGTCGAGCTCCAATCCGAGAACGCGCTGGCGTGTCTTCCAATCAGTGACCTTCTCGATGTTGATGGCGTCAGCGCCCAGAATGGCCACCATTGCGTAACGGAGGGAGCGGTCTATGTCGGAACAGGTCGTTCTTATGTCTGCAGCTACGTTAATGTGGTCATCCACCCAGTGATAATTGAAGAAACCGGCCGGAGAAGCTGCGTTGGTATGGCAGCCATGAACGTGGGAAATCGCTCCGCCGAAAATCTCATAGAATCCAGGAGAGCCTGTCCATCCGAAAGGCGCGGAAAGCTCGATCACCAGGGCGTTCTCTTCCTCGATCATCCCGGCAAACAGGTAGACGCTGTTGCTGTGAATGCTAATATTCCGGAAGGCTGTAGCGACGTCGCCCGCCATCACATAGATTGGTACATCGGGGAATTCTTGCTTTGCTTTCTGGATCTCCCGTGCTACCGCGTCGCAGTGGATGTAGTCGGGTTTGGTAATGCTGTCTTGATCGGTGCAATCGTTGATCGAGGTTCCTTCAGGATATGACAGATCGTGGATCGTACGTCCCGGAAACCGTGTTGTCCTCGCTTCCCTTGTCCACAACGCCGAAGAGGCTAATGATTATCTCTGGCCACTGCTTCAGAAGATCCATGTCGAGGACCAGGCACCTCCCAGCATCTTGCTCTTTCCTGATATTCTTGCGCAAGATATTAATTCTGCCCCGAGCCGAGCCATGATTCACTGGGCGAACTGACTGCCGAGGTGGTGTTTCTTTTAGCTGGACTTCGACACCTTCTTGAGCAATCTTCTGCATCTGCGCCAAGTGCTTATATTCTCTGCACAGTTCGCAAAGAACCGCTGGAACCAAATTCTTGTTCGGACGGTAATCCCGCTCCGTTTGTCCCCGAACCAGCTCCACGAACGCCGGTAGCAGTAAAGCTGAACGGCGTGCGAGCTCCGACAGAGAGCGTTGCAATGGCTTATTAAGCACGTATACAGGTCCATCAGCGCCTTCTTGCGTTGTATCAGGCGCTGGTAGCTTTATGCCGAAGCTGGCCATGGCCTTCCCGAGCGTAGCCGATTGAACTTCTCGATTCAGGTCCCGCGCATTCTCATGCATTTGGTCCGCGGTTTTACTTGAGACTACACGGCGACGTGGGGTTCTTTCGATCCGAAGTATGTTTCCTGTGCCATCTCTGTTAGCCGAGTGTAGCTTGTCTGGATTTGCTTGACTTGTACCCGAAGTCGAAGGCATGCTTGTAGATATATCAGGATTCATCGGAATTTGGACCTTGGTAGACTTCGTATTATCGCGTCGGTCGTTTCGTCGTATATTCTCGCTAGTGTACAGATCGTCTGACCTGGATGGGCTGCACCCCGGGGGGCGTGTATACGTGGATGGCTGTATAGACGACATGGATTGTATTGTCAAAGCAGGCCGTATACCCGTGGGTGACTGTATTGTCGACCCGGGCTGTATAGTCAAGGGTGGCTGTATACCCGGAGGTGACTGTATAGTCGACCCGGACTGTAAAGTCAAGGGGGGCTGTATAGCCGTGGGTGACTGTATGGTCGACCCGGACTGTATAGTCAAAGGAGGCTGTATAGCCGAAGACGTCACTTGTCTCGATTCACCGCAGGTTAGAAGGAACCTGGAAGGCGAGGAACCCGGTACATCAGCAGGTGAGGAGAGGATTTCATTAGCGAAACAAAGGCCTTCCGGAGAAATTTCTCGCTCGCGCGGCAAAATCCAACCTTTGTTGTCGTGCGAAGCGTTGCGCGTACACGCGGGAGGCGACACCGCCTGGATATTTCACATCCTGGGCCCAGCTGTGCTAACGGCCCCGAGCCGCGTTCCTGCCGGCGAACTACGAGTACCAACAGGGTTCGCGCTTTCTCTCATGCAAGCAAGGAATGCGCGAGCTGCACGAGTATGTTCATGATATACGGGAGTTCACGGTGTCCCTAGTGGGAAACCGACGCAACGAACACGTCAAGACGACTGTGTTTATGGACGGCCTTCGCGTGGACACGGCGCGCACTCAGCTGTTCCGGGTGCAGTCAAGCACCTGATTCAAGTCGCCCTTAAAGAAGAATATAGCCATTTCCATCATCCAGTTGATCTGGCTGTCAAGTACGAAAACTTCGACAGCCAAGAGCAGTTTACGCGTCTCGACATGGAACCTATGATTTGATGCTGAGCATGGCCCCAGCTTGGAACTCTTGATTCCTGGATCGTCTGGCGAGAAAACAAAATTGGTGCTAGCTGCAATGTCCGACGAAGCATTAATGAGTCAAGTCTTCACCTCTGCTAGGACGCGAGACGCCCGCACAGGATGCCAGGGAGACGAAGCATTTCGTAGATGCTTGGGAGTCGTCGACGTATAAGACGGCTCGGAGGAAGCTTTGGTGGTGGCGGCGCTAAGAAGCGCTGGCTAAGCGGATAACATAGATCTGTAGATAGCCGCAGCTGCCACGAACGCTGATAATAGCGTGTCCAAGATGGGTAACAGA